ACTCCAAAACTAGGTAATGATTATTCTGCTTCATTTTCCAATTTTCATGCTACTGCTAATCACAAATGAACTATTTAGTATTCTCATATATATAAATACAAATTAGTTTTCGTTGTATTACATTATGTGTTATTCATGCATATTTGCTACAATATCGCTTTTCCTGTGCTCATCTTTATTCTTTTTCAAACATACTTTTTTTTCTAAATAGTATTGGTTTCCTACTCTTTTGTCACATTTGGTTTCTAATTCCACTTCAATGTTTCTTTTTATATCATTATAATTTTCAGCATTAGCTAGAAAGTCTTATAAAGTGAACACCACCAATATAAAAATAATAATGAGTTTTAAATAGAACTGGCCGATACTTGATGATAATCCATATTGAAACTCATTAATACAGTTTATTGTACAATTTCCACTATAAATGATGAAAATCCTCTAGAAGATAAATTGGGATTTTTTTTGTAATTAAAAAAAAAATTGAAAAGACCTTATTTATGTCTTATTAATTTTTAGGCCAAAGAAGTACTTCAGAAATTCCTGAGACCGGCGGTAGTGAGAAGTGGTAGTAAAAAAGGCCCCAACAGAGCAAAAATACTTCTAGGATTTCAAACAAATACTAATTCGGATGTAATTCAGTGTGATCCTGTATTCATAGAGAGCTGTGAGAAACAACAACAACAATTAGTTTTTTGTCTGAGCGTAGGTAAGGCCCATTCTCAACTCAGAAGGTTGAGAAATGAGAGTTCTATACTGGATGATGCAGTTATAACGGCCATTCCTAACTACAAATCTAAAGTGTTGTTTACACCGACAAAATTAAACTCATTCGGTAAAGGAATGGAATATTACTTGCAGTCAACTGTTACTGAAAATCAAAATCAGGTAAAAGCTGTTTCTTTTTTTTTGAAAATATAATATTGTCATAAATTGTATATGTGTAAGGAGACGATTTCTATAAATGAATATTTTAGAGATGATATATGCTCATGCATTCAACATTCTTTGTTTTTATATAAGGTTGCCTATTTCAATAAAGTATTATTATGATTATATTATCTGAAGGTAAATTTGTCGGGGCCTGACTCCGAAGCTTCGACACATCCGTTGCTTCGTTGGTCGAAAAGAACTACATCAGGCTTATTGGCTTGTATGAGCCTCAGGGTAGGGAATAAATTCGGCAGTTTTCATTTCCCACGGAGCGTAAGGTAACACCGGCGTCTCGTCAATACCGTAAAAGTACCGAAGATGGTAATAAAACACTCTTAAGGACGCGTTATGTCAGTGGAATAAGGCTGGGTACGCATGTGTTAGACATGCTGACAGCAAATATATTAGGGCCTCAGGCATCTCGAGCAGATTCTGCACCTTATGTTAGGAACTTTTATACCCATCACGCGACTGCGGTAGAGTAAGGTGTTATAGGCACCATCCTAACAGGACATGATGGACCCCTCAGTTTCCGACTCCAGCTCGCTCGACCTGGAAAAAGCGAAGGTAAGATGCTTTAATAAGCCAAGGTCTTTGATATTGTTGAAGAAGATCCCATGCGTTGGCTTATCCTTGTGTTGTCGCAAAAGTAAAGTGATATCTGCGGTTTTTATGAGAGCCTTTTTCTAACTTAGTGAGTTGTGGTTACTTCGTTCAGTATCGAAAACTAAACGGAGTTTACAAGCCGCCCTAAAAGGAAAAGCTCCAATTCCTGCTCATCTTCGCGGACCATGCAGAAAAAGGAATCAGAACTCCTGATGACTTTACAGGCTCCAATGGCTATTCTGTTATGTAGAAACTCCAAAATCGAAAGTCCACTGTCTTCTTGTTGTCGGGGGAAGTACAACCGTGGAACAGACAATTTGGGAGGCAAACTCCTATGAAGATGCATAATTTTTCGGATCTTTATGTCGAGTCGGTACAGGTCTTCCCGAGTCCACTTCAAAACTCTGGCCAGATGGCGTTGGGTGCTTGATAGTTTTTTCCACCAATAAGTATTCAGCCCTTCAGAGCCTGAAGCAGTATAGTTTTTGGAACCCACATCGAATGTCATCCGGGGTTTTTGGGTTGTGAAGCAGTATAGTTTTTGGAACCCACATCGAATGTCATCCGGGGTTTTCGGGTTGTGAAGTTGATTGAGCTCAGGCTGTCGACACTAGGTCTGGAATGTCTAAGTTGAGTGGCTGCCGGTGTTTATTAATTTCCTTCCAGAAGGATTCCATCTGATCACCAGTCGGCGGATTATTCACAACACGCGGAGGCTGTTGGAATAATCGAGAAGGTTTCTCGTGGAACTTAGTTTTTCGCAATGCTTCTCGCTCGCCTCACTAGTGACTTCTTAGCGGCCACTAGCATTCATATCCTATCAAGGCAGCGCTGTTTGGTGGTCAGCAGCACGCCTTGACTTAAAGTGTGATGGATACGTCGTAGATTGGTGACTATTCGCCGCACTGCGGGCGTGAAAGGCCTGTTGGTCGCTCTGTGATCCATCACACATTGGATACGAGATGCAAGGCCGGGATTTCGTCCTTCCTATTCGGAAAGCCATTGGACGACGCTATACACGGCGGTGTTGATCTGCCAGATGTCAGCCTCTTCTGTTAGAACACAACGAACCTCCGCATCCAAACAAGCCAGTTCTTGTGGCTTCAGGGGCCTAATTCGGTGGAGCGCCCTGCGTGTTCTGATTGACTCCATTGGTGGCATGATGCGAGTCTTCTCTTCAGCCATGCCAACGGGTGGTAGAACTGTCACTTCTCCCACTTTGTTAGCAGGCTGGGAAGGAGCTATATAGCCCTGCCGCCGAAGATAGGATACGTACTCCCTAAGATTTTGGGTGGCATGCTCCGGATGTGTTTCACACCACAGAGCATGCAATCTCGCCATGTACCCTCTTCAAGCGGGCTCACTACTCTCGTAGCAATGCATAAGGCTATCTCTTAGCTCATGCGTCCACTCAAAGCGTCCGTTGTCATTCCCAGGGTTGTCATCGGTAGGCAAATCATCGGTATTAGAGCCGCGTTATGTCGATGGATATAAGCCAAGACCGCATATGCATATTATTATTATATTTTTTCTAATTTGATTTCCAACGTGTTTATGTCAATTGATCCATTCAGGTTCAACAAAATGATGAAAATCCTCTAGAAGATAAATTGGGATTCATAATGTTTGAGTGTGGTCTAGAAGGAATAACTCTGAAAATAGTGAAGAAATCCCATTTTGAACAAGTAGACAATAATATTTCCATAGAAAGCACCCTCACTGACTCAATCAAATCCAATGATGATCTAGTCAGTACCGAAAGATCCACCAATACGACTCCCAAATTGACAGAACATAAAACACCAAATACAAATCACACCCCAAAACCGCAGGAGAAGGAGAGAAAATTACAAGGAGAAGAAGATGGAAAGAATGATAAAGGAAGTGACAGCAAAGAAATAATAGGTGTTTCCAAAGACAACGGCAATGTTTCCTCATGTATAATAGAATTCAAAGTGGTTTGGTTTAACTTTGCCGCTCCTCCTAGAGCACCTATAACTAGAAAAATAGACTACACCAGGTACTTGAGACAATTTGAAATTCTTTATATAATCAAAGACGAATATAATTTTTCAGACTTGACTGGAATCTACTGAGTACAGCATCACCAGCTATAAATGCATGGATGAATCCGAGCAATCGCCTTGCAATCAGAGTAGTTCATATGGTACGAACAATGTACAGAAGATCCACTGCCACTGTAGCTTGTTTGATGGCAGATGCACTAGAGGGGCAACGTATCACTCTTGCGAAGGCGAGTAGTTTTTGATATAGGTCTAATATAAGTTACTATCAACCTGAAAGAAAATTGAACAATGGTGTTCAAGGAAACTGTGAAGGGCGACTATTATTTTGAGAATCAATGCCATTTTGATTATATTGTTCATCACTTACCAATTTGTTCCGAAAGAGAGAATTGTACGGTCCAAATTAGAAGTGATAGAAGTCATTTCTGATAAAAAAAGTTCACATAATATGGAGTTCAATCCCCCACCATTTTTTGTTGATGTTTTTTTCTAGAATTGGTCTATTGATCTTTCATTTGCAGTATGTTTATAAAATTTCACGGTTCCAGAAAATCTGAGATCTTCATCCAGTTTTTTGATCTCCTGTTCTTTGAAAACTGGCAATAATTTAAAGCATTGTATCTCAAGACAATGCAGTCAAAAAAGTACCACTTTCTGTCAAAACTATTTTTTTTCCTGATCAAAACAAGGTCTCATTCGTTTCTCATCCCTAATATGAAAATAAAATTGTTATCAATATTTGCTTGAAAATTATTTCAATATCGTGATAATACCCAGCTCAGTTCCTCTCTTGTCTGAGAAAAACATAGTTTTAATGATTTAGAAAGGACTTTTATGCTTATCATGCTTACAAAACTATTGTTACGGTTTTCTCTATAAGTTCGACAATAATTGATCACACTGTACAGTTGAACTTAACCTAATTTCACTGATAACTACACTTGAGGCTTATACTCCAATGTCTATTGCCTTATTAGCTCAATTCACACTACACTTTCCATACTAAACTTCTAGGTCTCGGTAATGCTTATACAACCTGATGGGACACTTTGGCAGCTAGTAAAACAACTCTAGCGTTCTAGAAGCTTCGAGAGGAGACACAAATGGGCCTGAGCGCGATCTATTGAAAAGATACGGCGTCTTAGAAGCTTCGAGAGGGGACCTTGACTAAGTACCAGTCGATCAAAGAAAGCCAGCGTCGGTCGGCGTTTCTTTTTCAAGGGGTAATTTATACAACACTATAATTGGATTCTGTAAACCCGATCGTTTATCTTTTTGATTACCAAGTGAGGTCTCTGCAGTTTGGGACAAAAACCTTTCCGCCATTGTAGTTGGTAGAACCATACTGCAATGCCCATCTTGGAGCTCAGCAGCTCCAATTTTTTTGGCAAATATTATCTTCATACTGTCGCTGGAAAGCTGTAATTTGGATCTGGCAAATTTGTGAAAGATATCCAGTCTCTTCTTCAATCCCAACAAAGCCCTCATTTCCTTCCACACATCTGATTCGAAGTTGTGGTCCTGATCTGTGTGCAAACAACTTCAGGCCATTTGGAGAAATCATCCATCACAACCATCTGGTACTTGTTACCGGATGTGGTCGCAGAAAGTGGTCCCAGAATGTCAACGGCGATTTTCTCGAAAGGGTATCTATTGAAACACTGCTCAACTCTATTCTTAGCCTTGTCCTCAGACCCTTTTTCAAAGGCTAGAGGTTACAGCGCTCGCACTCCACGTCCTGCCGACAATCGACCCAATAGTACCTCTCACGCACTCTCGCTAGAGTTCCGTTCACTCCAAAATTTCATCCAGTGCGTCCATTGTACCCATGTCTAGCACACCCTCAGTTGTCAAGAAAATATCAGTTGTTTTGTTTTCTTTCATTCTGTTGGTATCCTATCCAGCTACTATCATGTGTATCTATTTTTAACAATATTGATATTTATACAAAGATCTAAATTATGCAATAAATTCATTGTTTTGTAAGTAGGTGTAAAGATCCACAAATTTCTATGAAAATAAAATAAACAAAACTCCGAGCCCAAGTCCGAATTTAAATAACAATTTTTATAAAAGGTACAGAGGAGAATAATCATTCGCAAGATATTTCGTATCAGAAGTAATCCCAAGAATGTAATAATGATACCATAGGATTCTTTTGAGTAAATGAAATCAATTCACATATAGTCAATCTACTTGTGCTCTGGAAAATAGTGTTCAGTTCAAAAATTGACATTACATTTTTAGAGTCGATATGGAAAGTTGACTCCTCTTGCCCAAACACTACAAGAAGATCCAAGTTTACAGTTGTGTTCGATTCTACAAAAATATTATCTAGAAGCAGATCCTTCTCATATCGAGAATAACCTAAGAGAGTCTGAAATTCCACAGTTATTCACGTTGAGGCAGGTAAGTAAGCTTTATTATCAATTGTATTCAGTATTTAAAAAAAAATAAATCCTAGCTTAATGTTTAACATTTGTTCAATGTATTTTAAAATTTCCAGACTCAAAAATATACTCAGTGTGTTTTTTATATTTCAGGGAGTAATTGTTTTGAGCAGGCAATGGAAAAACACATTGTACACTCCTTTGATGCCTCATCCATCGGTAAAAAATCGAGTAAAACCTGTAAATGTGACAATAACTGTTCCAGACATTCAAGAGGTAAATTGCTATTGATTGAAAAATAGGAAAAACTCACAGCGGCCCAGCCTTAGTTATTCAATATTTTATTTTTTCTTTAGGTAAACCAAAAATATGAGTCTGGCATTAAGGTCATAAGACGCAGTAAGAATTTTATTGAATTGTCTCAATCCCCATTGGTTACATAGCTTTTCCACCTCACAGCACTAACTCATTGTTATTAGTGTTACATTANTATTAAAAACTGAAGGATGATACAACAAAATCAATTGAACAAAAAATTTATAGAACATTAGCTAAACATAAAAACAACTAATTTCCCATTTTAGTAAACCGTTTCGGAGGCATAATCTCTCCGTCTTCAGAAATGGAAAAAAACTCAAAGATATTTGCAGTTATTTTTTTTTATTGTTTATTTCCCAATTTCTTCGAAAGATGTCAAAGGAGTTTTGAAATATGATATTATGTCAATGTTGTTGATTGACAATTGAAACATTCGATGCAATACAAGGTGCTCTCCGAAATCAGTCTGTTGCCATTTCGCCACTATCCTAATTTTCCTTCAAGTTGGGTAGCCATGTACGGTCTATTTCTAAGGAGCTGTTCGAAATACACTTCTCTCCAGATATGAGAATATATGCTGATACTTTTTGCTTACGTCTCTTAGAGTGAGGCTCATTGGTAATCATTCTTGTCTTGTTCCATTCCACTCGATGTTCACCGTCTGATTTTAGAATGTGTTCTGACAATTTAGATCTTGTCAATTGTCTATTTTTTATGAATCTTGATGTTCATTCTCACGCACTTTCAATGGTCTCGAAGTTTTGACCAATAAATGCAATTTTTTGTTTTTTCTTCAGTATTGTTGGATTTTGTATGTGTGAGTATAGATCTCAGTGTATTTTTTGTTTTGAAAGTAGTTCTAACATCATATACCTATTTCCAATTCGTCTTATTTTTGCAGATAGTCTTGGAATGTAAGGTATAACGTTAGTTATGAAAGGTATCGGTGGATGTTGAGTCGGTAATGTAGAGTTGGATGTTGTTGAATTTTTGAAGCTGTTTGTATGGTCGTTTAGTTTTTAATTGACTCTTTATTTTCTATTGCATTTATCGTTGAATTTATGAACGAATCTGGATAAGCGTTATCTTTCAGAACAGAATTAATTAATGACATTTCTTTATTGAAATTTTCATTTGAATTGCATAGCGTTTTTGCTCTGTTGTTAAGACAATTCATTTATTATACCTCTTTTAACACTCGCATGATGATTAAATGTAGGTATAGTGAAGATATTTATTTGTAAATTGATGGATGTAGCCGTTATTACTACGTGGTAGAAAATCATAATGAAGGAAAGAGAATTGAAACTTTATGGGTTTTTTACCACTTTTATTTGTAAGTAACGTTACTGCAGTTTCGTCNGAAGATTTTTCTTTGTGAAAAATACTTTGATTTTTACGCAGTAACTTATCGGGGTAAATTAAAAAGTTTGTCCTTTCAACACTTGTATATAGTTCTCCATTAAAATTTTTATATTTTTTAGATTGTGGGAGGTAAAAAATACCTAAAAAAGGTCGATGAAAAAAATATAAAGAACTTTGTACTAGTTTTGAAAATTACTTTTTTAGAAAGTTGTAGGCAGTAAGAGGTAAGGTAAGATGAATAAAAACGGATTTTTATTCAAACTGATATATCTCCACATATACGAAACTAATTATAATAGTCTATAGTCCAATTTGAGAGTTCTATAATTTTATGACTTTTCAATCAGATAGACTTTTGTTATTGATGTTAAGTTTCGAATTGAGTTAACTTGAACATCCTGGAGCTGAATGATACTGACGTTCTGTACTAGAACTTTCTGTAGCACTAATTGACAAAAACTTCATTATGATTTGCTGTGCTCACTTTACAATCATATTCATTGAGATTTATCACCATTTTTGTGCTTTTTATCATAAACAGGAAACGTGCATGACTGACGGTGACGCAAGTGGCAATGAAGAGCCTGACATTACCGACGAACATGCGCGCTTACTACATGCTGGTATCATTCTTAAGCCAAATGCTCATAAGAACATGGGTATGTTAGGTCTATAACACATTTCACTATGCTGTACTCTATGTATATATACATTGAAGAAATGATTTTTCATATTACTGGAAGCTTTTCTGTTGAAATTTATTGAAATATTTTGGTGTGCAAAAATCTCTTCCATTTTACCGAAATTTTATTTATTCAATTGGCTATATTTGTATGACAAAAAGTTCTAGTTTTTATATGTGAATTTTTTTTTCTGTCAAATGTTATTTTTTTCAGATTGGAGATCTGTCATAATTCGAATCAACTATATTTCATTTTTCTCATTCCAGGGCATCCAGATTTTACAAAATTTATTCTTATTCACTCAGAATGTTTGTCGAATTATTTTGAAATTAATAATAATCAACGCATTTGTGTTTTGAGAAAAAGCTACCAGTAATAAACAAAATCTTGTCCTCGTATGCTTGGGTCAGTTATTTTTTTTTTATTATATTTGTTTTCATTTTTCGTACTTATGAATACTACTCGAATTTGTTGAACCAAACAATTCCAATATATTGTCCTGATTTGAAATATATTAAAAGTTTTTAAACTATCCAGTAATTAAATAATGATTGATATATTGAAAATAGATATGTATATGTGTTTAACAAATTATGGTATGTATTTCTGTAAATAGCTTTCTTTTAGGCTTTTTGTTCATGACCAATAGCTGTAAAGTCTATGTTTCATGTTGAGCAAAGAATAAACAAAGCTTTGTCTTTTCCTTTAATCATATTCTGCTTTGTTTTTACGTTGTCTCATAATTTTTCGAAGGTGCTGAAAAACTAACTTTATGTATAAGTATGTCAGAGTTGTTTTTACATTTTAACATATATTTTTTCTAGTACCTTTGAAAGAAGTAATTGGACCTTTACACAATTCTCCTCGATTAGCAGGCTTTGGCGATTCTTCGAGTCACACCTCTCAGGTAGCAGTTGTTTCCGGAGGGGTTGAAAGCATTCTTACATCTCCAAGTCCACCAGGTATTCAAAAATGGTATTGACTGGTGTTGGTGTGTTTTGTTTTCATGTTTGTTTTACAGTGCCTCTAAGAAAGCGCAAAAAAAGCACTCAGCCTATCCAGCCCCCAAACAGTAGCAGGGCTAGTGTTGTTCTACCGCTTTTGGCAAATGCTAACATTTTTACTGCTAAACGTGTTCATGAAGACAATATATGTGAGTAAATGACAGCTTTTCGTTGTACCTCTTACCGTGCAGCATGCTTATAGGCATTTGCCCTCTGGTCAGTCTACTGATGACTGACCTGGCTTTCCCTTGAATATATAGATGTAATGGCGTTAGGTTCAGCAAGACTTCTAATGCGGCTGTTGGGGTGGTTTTCATAACGCCCGTGGCAGCCAGGCAAGCTTGCCTTTGAATGCCACTTAGCCTTCGAATCGCCCCATCCTGTTGAGTCTTTGGCCACCATACCACAGAGCCATATGCTATCATGGGTAAGATAATCCTGGTATATAGCCATATGGTCATTTTTGGTTGTAAACCCCAAGTTTTTCCGCACATCCTTCTACACAAGTTGAAGGCTATCGTGCTTTTTTGGATTATTTTTTGTAGATGTTGATTCCAGGTCAACTTGTGGTCAAAAATGACTCCCAAGTATTTTGTCTCTTGTGCGATTGGAATTTCTACCCCGTGTAGTGCTGGTGGCTTCAGCCCTCTAAGTACTTTCTTTTTTGTAAAGACTACTAGTGTAGTTTTGAGAGGGGTTTACTGTTAGTTCCTCCTGGCACCATTTATTTATTATGTTTAGAGCCGTTTGTGTGTGGTCCGAAACAGTTCTTGCAAATTTGCCTCTTGCTATAATCGCGAGGTCATCGGCATATCCTAAACAATGCATGCCTTTGGATTTCAGCCTCATTTGTAGTTCGTCCACTAGGATAGCCCACAGTAGGGGCGATAATACCTCTCCTTGTGGACACCCCTTGCCAGCTCTATCTGTGACTGTGGTTTAGCCTGTAGATGCGTTATTAAAGGCACCCTCGATGTCGATGAATGTTGCCATGGCTATCTCCTTATCCTCTAAGGATTTTGTTAGTAGCCTGTTAAGATTATCTAATGCCAGATCTGTTGACTTACCTGGCTGGTACGCATATTGGCGTTCGTTGAGAGGGTTTATTAATAATACCTCATCTCTTATGTATCTATCTATCAGTCTTTCCAGTGTTTTGAGCAGGAAATACACTAGACTAATTGGTCGGTATGACTTGGGCGTCATATCGTTTACCTTCCCTATCTTGGGTATGTAGATGACTTTGTCTTTTTGCCACTCAGTCGGTATGTATCTCATGGCTATGCAAGCCATGTTTGGAATCAGTGATTCCTGTCCCTTTTGAAGTAGGATGGGATATATTCCGTCCTCTCCTGGAGATTTATATGGCTGGAATTTACTATTTGGCCTTGTTATCTCAGTAGCTAGTCTCCAGTTCGAGGCATTCGGCCTATTCGGCTTGCTTTGCGGACAGTGCACTGCCACTGGGCCTTTTAGAATTGTTGCGGCCGGAAAGTGTGCCTTGATGAGCATTTCTATGCTTTCCCCAAATGTTGTTGTGTAGGTATCATCGTCCTTTTTTAGGAACCCTACCTAGTTTATAGTACCCTCCTTAGCTAGCACTTTATGGGTTCTCGAACAAGTGGGGGTATCCATTATCTCTTCACAAAATTTCCTCCACGATTGCCTCTTAGCCTTTCTAATTTCTTTATTATACTGTGTGAGTGTAGCCTTTGTATTCCGCCCAGTCTTGGTTGATTTTAGCTTTGTTAAATAGCCTCCGTACTTCCCTTCCGAGGATTTCTAAGTGTTTGTTCCACCAGACTGTTTTGTTAAACTGTTGCCATGGTTTCTCCGGACAGTTTGCCTCTTAAGCTGCAATTATTGCCTTGCTTAGTTTTTTCACTGCCCTTTCAAGGCTTTTATCTTTCTCTATTTCAATCACCTCCCCTTCGAGAGCCTCGTTGAGTGACAATAAGTATCCTCTCCAGTTTGTCTCTGTAGGGTTTCGATAAATGATTGATGTTCGAGGGGGGTTTACTAGGTCAAACCTAATCTATCTATGGTCGGAGCATGAAGGCTCCTCTGGCACATGCCAATTGTCTATATTGTCACATGCTTTTTCCGAAGAAAGTGTGATATCTAGTACCTATTTCCTCGCTGCGGTGACAAATGTTGGTTTGTTACCTACGTTGGCTATTAATAACCTTTTTGTTAGTATGAAATCTAGTAATGACTCACCTCTTGTGTTGATGTCCGTGCTTCTCCATAATATATGGTGTGCATTTGCATCGCATCCTATGATGAGTTGGAGGTTTTTCCTGGCCACGTATGCGATTACTTCATCTAATTGCGGTGGTGGACACATCTCCTCGCCTGGAAGATATGCTGAGCTTACTAACCAGCTTCTAGTGCCTTCCTCTGTTGGCGTGGTCAGGATAACTGTAACATAATCAGCAATGCAGAGCACCGGGATTAGAGTGCAGTTTACCCTATTACTATATACGATACAAGCGCGAGGTTTTTTTGCACCTTCTTTGTATAGTACCTTGTTGTAGTTGGTTTTTAAGCCTGAAATCCTGCCTCCATGTACCCAGGGTTCTTGCAGGAGGGCCACGTCCAGTCCGTCCTTGTCGAATCTCCTACAAACAACAGCGCTTGCCGCCTTGACGTGGTGGAGGTTCACCTGCAGAACCCTGGCCCTGGTTGTGCTCAGTTCTGTGTCATTAGCAACGATTACTGTATTACTACCATTTCAGTGGCTTCTCTCGCAATGCATAGATCTTGGTTGGATCTAGTTTGTTCTCCTTTTTCTTTTCATGCTCTCCTAAAAAAGTATTGGATATCAAATACAGCATTTTTACTCAATCTAGAATTTAATGAAAGGAATTCTAGAAAAACAATTGAGAGATCATACAGAACGTGTTGGACAAAAGTTTCGAATTATTTCACTAATCCAGTTTCAAATCAGTAGGTTATGGTACTCTTCATGAAGATAAAACTATCATAAATCTGGGTTCTGATCCTAGTGATGTATACAGTCACTCAAGTCCTGAATTACCATCCAGTCCCACTCATCGTACCATAGGTCATAATAATTCATCGGAAGATTTGTATAGTTGGATGGCCAAACAAGATGCTGTTACATCAAACTTAGAAGGTGATTCAATTCTTTAAAAAAATATTTTTTGTTCTTATACCTCTTGGTTTTCAGGGTGCTTAGAGTCTAAAATCAATACACTACATACAGAATCATCAGGAGAACCAGGTACTTTACCAAAAGAGGAAACATCGCCCCCTGGTATTCCTTTGTACCCAATACAAGATTCAGTCAGACTTATGGATGCTAACGAAATTTTTCAGCCTCTGCTGTCTGGTTTGGGAGTTATGCCACAACAACTTAGGTTCACCACAATGTCAGATTCAAGTAATAAAAGAAATTTGATCACAGCAAACGTCAGTTAAATTCATTTTGATTATTTTTACTAGATTCGGGAAATGATGTGACAACGTTAGATGCACTTGGTTCCAATTTCTGTTTAGTAGGAAACATGGAAACTATGAGAATTGATATTGTTGTGTCTGAGCATGGAAAAATTGAGAAAAGGAGAGGTAAAAACAAAGGAAAGAAACTGTTTATTGAGGTCAATGCAGGTAAAACCGTCCTGATATTATGTATTTCATTTTCCACAGTAAAATTCAAATCACATCTGGATAATCCGAAAATCTAGTGGATTACCCTAATAAATCGATTACTCGCTTTGTTGCAGACGAATCTCCTTCTTTCGTTTGTGAAAAAGTAGCTGTAGAATTGGAGATTGATAGAATGACTGATATGGTAGTAAATGAAATGATGAAAACTAAAAATGTGTTATACATTTCAAGAGGACAGTTGAAAAACCATACCAGTACTGTTATTAATTTCACTATAGGTAAGTACCATTCTACTAAACTTTCAGTATTACAAACATATTTTTTAGGTGTTAGATATATTCATCAAAGGGTAAATATGCCCTTATTGCGACTTTTACATCAGATAAGTAATATGTATCAGAATGTCAAGGATACTCAGAACGAATTGAGGGAAGAACAACCTGTTGAAATTCGGAGACCCAAAACCAGTGCCAGTGACCATGCTGACATGAAACATCATTCATCAAGTAAGCTATAGAACCTTGGTTTGAAATTATTCAACAAATCCAAAATGGCATGCATATGTAGGCAAAGGAATAAGTAAAAATAATATCTCCTGAGCTTTCCAAAAAAATACACTTGACAAAGCAGGAACAAATCAGAAGAGAAATAACAAAATGTTTTATTGTCTTAGGAACATCATTTATTTCCTTTAATAGCAATAAAAAGTAATGGATACCATACAATTTGGGTATTTTTAAAAGGAATCCTTAATGATTTAAAGAAAATTAGAAATTGGTCAGAGCAACATAAATTAACTGTGAATTGATAAAAAATTATGTTTGTGCGTGCATATGTGTGTCTTTTTTCTTGATTAGTTAAAATTATTATAAATTGTATTTTCCCTACATAAACTATAAGAGTTTATTGGGAAAATAGAGATTATTATACAACTGAAAAAGTATTGGTTTGAATTAGTATAGGGTTTATCACTTGTAAAACTGATCACTACCTCAAACTATTGAAGAATTCACCACCCTAAATAGACTCATTTAGTAAATTAGAGTTGGGGAAGGGTAATCTGAGAGTCACTTGAACATTATTCCTGCATCTGCCTCATTGAAGCTCTGTTCACTAAGACACACAAACCAGTTGGAACCATCCAAATTAGAGCATTTGAGAATCTACTTCAAAATCAGTTTTATCATTTTATTAATTTAATAATGAAAGTACTGGTAAATACTATAAGGTCTAAAATTATCATCATTTATTTATGGGACTGCAGTGTCTTATTTGAAGTTGGATTTAGCCAGAGTATTGAAAATAAATTACATTCAACTAAATTTATTAACTCATTTTCAGCATCTGATATTCATTATCCCAATAATGAGATATCTAAACAGCTGAGTTTGAAAATCTCTGATCAAGGTTCATATTCGTCTCAACATAAACCTATTATATCACCGTCACCAAGCATTCGCTCTCGTCCTCAGAGTTTTGCACAAAAATTGCGTTCCACTGGGAAAGCCGTTAAAGGCTATGTGAACCTTAGTGAAGGGGCAGGTACTCCCATAACTATGTCCAGTCCATCTGTCTCAGCTTTGGAACATATACCAGTGATATCAGACAAAAATTCAGGAAAATGTTGGAAAACAATTTATCACCTGTTAGCGCTGTATGCTAATATGCCTGATACAAAAACTATAAAGCACAGATTTTCAGTTGGAACAAGTGATATATCTGAGCATTACAAAGGCAACAGAAAGTATGATATTTTAACAGAAATGAGATCATCTGAGGACATGGATAAATCCGACAGTAATGTACCAGTTCAACAAAATAGGGAAAGTAGCAAGTCAAAAGGTAAATATCATCAAAGATAATTTATAACAAAGATGATTATAGAATTTTCACAATAAAGTGGACCAGTCCAACTGATGGAGCTAACAAGTGGCAAAACGCATCTTAAATAAAATTTATTGTGAATATTTAATCTACAATTATAATCATCTATTGTATTAATAGAAAATTTTGAATGTTTGAATGCAAACTTCATATGGTTTTTGTTTTTAATATTAACTAACTGTCTTAGGTCCTTCAAATGAACATACAAAATTAGTGGTCTTTGGAGTGGCAAGAATCCATAGAACTAGGTTGTTAGCAACCCTTTCAGGACTCAAACTGGAAGCAGAAATTACTAGTTTACATTCCAGCCTAACTGTTCGCAAAAAATCATCACCTCAAATGCTGGAATGTTCACTAACAGGTCAAGTGGGTAGAACTATGATTGTTTTACTTGAAGGAGTAGCACCAAATCTTCAAACTGTAGTTAAAATTACTATAGGTGAGGAAAATTCTGAATTTTCAATATTATTATTTTTTTTACGACCTTTCAGAGTCCTAGTAGTTGCTCTACTGTTTTCATCATTATTTATTGATACCAATTACTCAGTATATGAAAGAGCTGTAAGGAACAATCAAAATACAAAAAACAATTTTTTGCAGACCCCTGTCCTTTCAGCTGAATGTATCAATGTTGTGTATCGTCTAGATTTTGGAAACAGTTTCATAAATAAATTCAAAAATGTTTCAACTGTTCAATATTACTCAATAACATCAGGCCTGATAATATAAATTTATCGGTGCTCACTACCACTTTGATCCTCAAAATTAATGTATAATGGAAGAAAAGCTTTATAGTCTTTCAAATCG